ATATTTTACTTCAACTGTAGAAGTAACATGGTGGAATATGCGTCTAGTAACTTCTGCTGCAATCAGAAACTTATGGCCCTAAAGTCTAGTTCACATCCTGATTGTGTGGTTTTATTCTTTTCACAGCTGCTAACTGAAAGACTGCCACTACATTAGCCCCATGAGCCACATTTCAGACGTCAGTCTAACAGTGAAAAAAATTCCGGACTCTTCTGTTCAATATTGTGAAATGAAATGAGGATCTTAGGCAACGCAAAGCCTTTATTACCTTGACCAACAATGCTGTTTTGAATGGGTCATGGCCACTCTGTGTCTTTTTGTAAGCACAGCTTAGTACCAGTCTAGCTAGAAGAAATCCATAGAATCCCAGTCAACATTATCATCAGCATCATCCAGTGGCTTGCCAGATGGGGATCGCAGTGGCGAAGTTGTCAAGCCGTTTGTCTCGCGCTGTGAATGTTATGGGATCGTTTCACGGCGGCGCCGATCGTTTACGAGTGCAATTTTTACAGAGATATATGTGGATCATACCCGGAGCTACGGAGGTCGTGCTCTGTGCAACGCTTTCGGCAGGCGGCTAGCTGTTCTGCGGAAAGAGACTAAGCCATATGGAATCAAATCCGGTGCAAGGAACTCAGTCCTCTCACCTTTACCTTTCCCTGTTGGACTAAACAAAATAATACTGCCGGTGACAAAACTATGTGAAGTAACAACTGGAATAAAATAGAGTAATGTTACAATTTAATGGATGTCAAGGAGTTAGGATAAATACATCATGCAAGGCAACCTCAAAGAACTCATTGGGAATAGTTAGATAATAAGGGAGCTAAAGCATTAACATTTGATTATTGAGTTGAAATGCGCATAAAAACTGACAAAACTGATCACACGACTCAAAAAAAAAAAAAAAAAAAAAAAAAAAAACAACAACAACATGAAAATATTAATATTTATCAACAAATAAACAACACTTTTTATTGTTACGTTTCATTTACCTGGCGTGTTATTTCTGTTTTACTACAATAATAATAATAGCAACAAAATTAAGCAAGAGCAAGGCAATATTAATATTAAATGAAGTACGCACTACTGCCCTAGAGCAAGAGGCAGACCGAGAGTACGTTGGATAGACAATATATCAGAGATCCTGAAGCAACACGGACTAACAACAACACGTGCAACACACCTGGCCCAGGATAGAAAACTGCGACTCCCCACTACGCTGTGAGGCAATTGTGGACAAGACAAGACAAGACAATGAAGTACGCTTTTCTTGTGTTATTGTTATTAATGCTAGCTTGTTACAGCATTAAAGACCTTATTTCAAACTTTTGTTATAATTCTTGTTACGATAATTATGATAATAAATTACGATGGTTTTTAATCAGATAGAAGCTATGAAACAATTAGATATTAAGTCATATGACTAAAAAGTTATTTTGTAGTCAAAGTGATATAAAATATAAAGCCATATTTAAGATATGCCGAGCTGTTTCTTCATTTTGTTTCAGCTTGACCATTCATTCTCTTCCGTACCTTTCTTTCGAACACTTAAGCTTTTGTTCCCTTGCTCACGGCTGTCTACATCCTTGATTTCTACTTTAAAAATGTATGTGCTAGTCGAGCACATTCCAACTTTTGTAATTAAAATGTCCCTGTATGGGTTTCCGGTGCCCCATTGTAGGGAAAACAAGAATAGGCTGTCACCCCCAACAAGGGTGTTGTAAGAGGCGACATACTGTCGGGCGGAGGAGGGGGGGGGGGGCAGGAGGAAAAAATGTAGGGGGAACTTTCTACGAAGTCGGAGTGCATCTTCCTGAGAGGCAAGGAACCAACAATCTGCATCCAAGTATATCAGATTTGTAAAACGGAGACGCACACAAAAATTAGGTTTTGGAACAAGACTAAGGTCTAGAGATGGGTGAACAGCCAATACATTCCGCCCGAGTTACAACCGGTGAAGGCGAAAAACGAGAAGTAATTAAAATGCAGCTGTTGTGGATTCTGTTTATTTTATGCTGTCTATTGGATTTAAAACATTACTAGATTATCTTTAACATTATAATAAGAATTGTTACAGTTATGAAATATACATATAATTAGAACACATTTCAGATTTTGTAATAAAGACTTAGATGTTTTTTTTTTAAATGTCTGATATTACCTATAAAATGATGTAGGAATTAATAACTGTATGCAAGAAGTGAGAACTAGAAGGGCAGAATGTTAGAGGACTTGCGTGTGTCCAGTTCTGATCCCTTTGAAAGAAAAGCTGCTTTCTTCGTTCGATTGTCACAACCTTCTCAAAACTCTTTATCTTGCAAAGCATACAAGTAAAAGACTACTCTCACACTACTGGCGCTAAACCTGTAATTGAATACATGAATCGGCACTTAACAAGTGAGGTGATCAACAGGTTACTGGCTCAGTTTCCTTCCAGGGCGTAACCAGGCAACACATTTTGGGTCTCCTCAACCAGGGAGTCTAGGCCAGTTATTCATTAATAATTAATATGTTGCCGTACTGTGGCAAATAATGTATTTCATGCATCAAAGGTAATATTTACAATAGTACACATTACTTTTTAAAACTACCACTAAGCAAGAAATCTGTGTTAATGAGGAAAGATTGAAAGTTGTGGAAGATTTTGAATATCTTAGGTCATTGATTATCAAAAATGGTGACACAATGAAAGAAATTCAACGACGACTATCTATTGCTCTTCAAAGACTAAAACAACTGAATAAATTAAGGATTGGGACAGACAGAACTACACACATTTGATTTCTAAGAGCATGCATCTTTCCCATTGCAACATACGCCTGTGAGACATGGACACTTACTAAACAAGATGATCAGCGCATTAATGCCTTAAATACAAATGTTATAGACAGGTTCTAAGAATATCATGGGTAAAGAAAAGAACAAATGCAACCATACTCCAAGAACTGAATACTGAAGAAGGTTTGTATTTAAAGACGATAAAACAAAGAAAATTAAAATAGTTTGGTCACTTGGAAATGTCACGAGAGATTGGAAAGAACAATAATGGAGGGATATATGCCTGAGAAGAGAGGAACAGTACGGCCAAAAAGAAGATGTTGTGGATGTGTCGGATGATCTCCTGATGGGTGTATCGGACGTGGGACCTCTTGCCTGTGATCGAGAAATTTTCTGGAAGGTTTTTATGTGAACAAGTTTTTCAAAGCCCATGCTACTGATTGACTAATGACACACTACTTGAAATATGTTAGAATCACCGACATTAACTGGGTGGAGAACGCACAAAAAGAATCGATTTTGCAGTTGAAATTGTTCTGCTAAGAAAAACCAATGAAGAAAAACACACACTATAGCACACACGAAAAGAAATTAAAAAATTGGCCCCAAATAAATCATGAATATATATACATATGTAAACATTAATACGTAACGAAAAGCTGTTTTTAGGGTTAATTCACACGCAATGCAATGCTCGACAGAGCCCACGCGCATACGCACACAGATACTTGTTTTTTTTTTTTTTAACGTATCCAGAAACCATGAGTTGTAAACCCTTTGGCTTGGTACTATGGATATCGCAACCCTTCGGCATTGATTCCATTATAGGTACCGTTAATCTGGAAGAAATGTAGCTTTTCTGCCTACCCCCGGAAGTGAACCCGGACCACAAGGAGTTCGTCACCCGGCCGCCGCGAAAGTCAGGTTTAACCAACTTCGCTAGAGAGCCGGGCAACACACACAGCACACGAATACACACATACACATATGCGTCAACAATGTATATTGAACATGGTAAATATTAACATCAATAAATAACCGACAGTGTGAGAAATATGAGAAAGTGAAATATTTACAATGCAGACCATACCTTCCATATGTCATTAAAATATTTATTTTGTGTACTAAACTGTGAGTCCAGAAAAGAGCTTCTCAAAACTAGGTCTTCACTCACTCTACTTGAACTTGGGTTTCGGACTGCCGACTCCCTACAAGATGTTATATTATGTTTTGTTATCACAATCGACGTCACTGCACACTGGGCATACCCATGCGTGCTCGGTCCTCCGAAGCAGCAGCCACTCCAAAGTACTTCTACTAATTGTCCCCATGAAAAGCTGGTTGTATTGTCTCCTTTCTCGGCCTTGAAGACGGCAAAGACGTGCTTCACCATGCTTAACTACCATGTCCCGCAATCGTGTTAGTGTCAAGGATTCCTCATTATCCATTAGCCCAGTCCGTACAGCGTTGACGATATCTGCTCTGTTCATCCTTTTTACCGCAATCATTAGTTTTTCTCTAACTGGGAATTCTTATTGTTTACGTGTCTGTCGAACAAGAACAGTTTCAGTGTCAGAAGTTTTACCAAAAATATTTCAATTGTAAAAAAAATGAACAGCCATGAATTATTGTTGTCAAAGAAGCAAAATACACACATGTGTCACTGGGACAGTGATATTAGTTATGCATTGCCTGACCAACGACAACATTACATATTGTGCGATATGAAGAATGTGTGCCGGAATTGATAACGGGATTACACTTCAGTAATTTCTACCAGCGTTTTATCATTATGTTATCAATGAACTTCTTTAAGAATACAACTTACATCCACCGTACAGTCTTTTGTTCTTCTTGATTTGCATCCACCGTACAGTCTTATGTTCTTCTTGATTATTGAAATAGTAATTTACACGACATTGCTGAAAAATTGCCATAAAATATCTAAAGTCTTAATTTAAATGCAAACACACAGGGGCACATCTTCTCGCCTATTGCCATTCACCTCACAAATGTAAAAGGCTAGACCCTTTAAAGACCTTTTCAGGCTACGATGGATGTTGCTGCTCAAGTTTTTCTTTTACTAGCTGAGATAGCAAGTCATAAGCCGCCCTTCTTTAGTTGGCTGTTACTAAATGCTTTCAAGTTACAGTGTTGTTATTTTGTTTTTCCCTTATTGCCCCCTGGTAAGACAATAGCGACTAGGACATATTCTCGTTTCATCGATGTTTTTGGGTCAGAACAGCACATGAAATGAATGATATAAGGACGGTCAATCTACTAATACACGTTTTGATGACGTAAAAACAGCATATACTTAACAGAGATATTATTAACAGACAAAATGCTAACACATCAAGTGAATAGAACTGGTATCCAGGCATTGTTTGTCCAAGCGATCGCATATAATCTCCACCATGTTGCAATACATGGTCCAACCAGAAGGCTGCCTGCTCTTTAGGAAGCTTGTAATTGATCTTAAATAACTTTGAGGCAGTTCTAATATGTGTTTTGTACTGTGGATTAGTGTATAACTCCATAACATTAGAAAATATTTCATCTGTCGTTGAACTCTTCAGATCAAGGGTCAAACCGAACCCTTTTGACCGAGTTCTTTCGGCGTTGTACGGCTGGTCCATAAATATCGGCATGCACAACATTGGAACACCGTGAAATAAGGCCTCATACTGGCTACTCTGTCCGCAGTGTGTCACAAGCACTTTGACTTTATGATGCCCAAGAAGATCGTTTTGAGGAATCCAGCTTGATGTCAGAATTTTGTCAGGATCTGGAGACACCATGTTGACACGCCATACAACATTAAGCGGCAATCGCTTGAAAGCAGCGATTAGCTTGTCCGAGACCTTTTGGGGAATATCCACAATATAAGATCCAAAGGCAACAACAACCACGCCCAGTTCTGCCTGATCAACAAATGATTTGAACGGCTCCTGCAATGGCATGGCATATGAGACAGATGTGCCACCGATTAGTTTCACATTCGGCAGAGAAACTTTAGGATAGTCAAGAATAGGATCACTTTCGATAAGCACAATTTCTGCTCTTGACGTGAGCTCCCTTATTGGCAAATATGGCTTTTCCGGAGCAAAGCGAGACACCGCATCTGTGTAAGAAAATATTTCGAAGAGGATCATAATAGCATACACTCCAAAGGAAACAGATCGTTGAAAGAAACTCATAACTTCGGTATATGGAAATAAAGCTGAAGGCAAAGTGGCTGGTGTGAATGGAACACGGTATCCGATAGGATCGTACATGGATCCAACAAAAGCGAAAGGTATTCCCAGCTTGTAGGCCAACACGGCGATCATCCTCATGGTAGGCGGATTGTCAATGATCATCAGATCCGGCTGAATAGCTCTGATTGCGTTCTCCAAATCCCTATCTGTTATCATATGCTCGATATGTTCGAATAAAATATCAATCATTCGCTGTATGTCAACGTTTTCGTCTTTCCAGTAAGCGTCTCTGACATACTTCATGTAACTGTCCACAGTATTGATTTCATTACTTGAATATCTGATGACATGAACACCCGTAATATTGAAAACAGGCTGGTCAGCCACGTAAGCCGGCATACACACCCAAGCTTCATGGCCTAGATCCACCAGAGCTCTTGCAACGTTAGTAAGGTAGCTAGTGTGGCTAACATTCGGCACGGGGACAATAACGATTCGTCTACTTTCATAGAGTCCATAATGTCCGAGAAGAAGGAGGCACTGGAGTAGATATCTCATCATGTGGAAGTTCACTCACGAAGGTGCTAATACGACTGACAATGAAAATGTCTGAAAAACAAAGAAAGGTATAATCACAGACATAATAATATTTAGACATTGAGACATAATTTATCATTACAATTAGCAATTATCCAAAAATTAAAATAATAATAATGATAATAATGGTTTAACAATAATAAAGGCACATAATAGACCTTACAAGATGTCGCTCTCATCACAGCCCGCCTTAAAAATAAAAACGCGATTCTTTGCCAGTACTTGTTTCATGCTTTTTTTTTGCCAAAATATCTCTTATGGCCTCTGCTCAGCTTGCCTCTCTGACCCCGTACAGTTGCCTTCAGTAATGTTCTTCTCAAAACACTGTGCCATTTGATATGGTCAAAGATAATTTTAGTTTCCGAGAGAGGATGCTTTTTATTTTAGTTTCCGAGAGAGGTTGCTTTTTAACTTCGATTGTCCTTTTTAAATGTTTTGAGGCAGTCAATGACTCACATATCTAAGCTGGTGCTCAGGTACTGAAAAAAAAAAAAAAAACCTAATGTTAAACTGTTGCACTGATTTTCTTTGACTTTGATTTAATTTGTTTGACTTATGTGACTTTAATTTAAGAAACTCAACAACCTAAACGACAGACAGAGAGTATAGGAGATCTATTTTAGCCAATCTTCAATGTTGAGACGATACCTGATTCAATGATTGACCCTAGGGTCTGGGTTAGGTCCTCACAGAGACAGACGTTTTTTTTTTTTTTTTTTCAAAAATTATCTTGGCTTCCAGGTTAAACTAGCTTTTAATGAATGTCAAGTACTGGGAAGTAAAGCCGGTCGGCGTGATACTGAGCAGCTCAACCATAGAGTCCCGGTTAATATCTCAAAAATAGCTTAAGCCAAAAACGTCCAATACGCTTGAAGACAATACGCATCCTTTTAAATTAGTTGCTAGGAAAACCCATACGCCTAAACATTATCGATACCTCAGATGCTAAACAAGTGTCAATTGATTGGTTGAGCTATAAGGTATTCTCGTGTGCAATTTGCACAGTTAAAAAAAAATTACAAAGATTTTGAATGTCAAAATAAACATAAAATTATTTTTGTTTCAGTAGCTATGCGATTCCTTCTTCTTCCCCAACCCGTACACTTCTTTAAGCATGGAGGCGGCAACGGATAACTATGCGTGTTTTTCAAACAATGTAATACAATATAATAAAATAAATACAATACAATAAAGGATAATATAATATAATATAATATAATATAATATAATATAATATAATATAATATAATATAATATAATATAATATAATATAATATAATATAATATATCATAACATAATCGACTTAATAATTACTAAGTTGATTCACTAGCACAGTAGTTGACGGCTGGTTTGAAAATATTTGATTTACTACTAAATATTAGGGACCAGTTTATTTATAGGTATATGACGTATTGATTAGTTGATTTTTATTATAATTACACATCAAATCTATTAAATACTAGGTGAAAAAACTTAGTAGATCAGTTATAAATCAGGATGGGTGTCTTTTGATTTATGCAATGTTTAGGGTAATTAGTTATGAGGTTACCTGTAAAGAAGCATAGGTGTCTAATAACTGTTTGTTGATAAAATAATAATTTAATTATAATTAAAACAATGTAAAATGAAATAAAGTAACATGATTATTTAATCATTGAGTTAATCCTATAGCAAGCTAGATGCCTATTGTTTCAACAACACAAAAATATATATATTACTTCTATCAGGTTAATTATACAGGGAGTTAATTAATTTTAAGTTGAAGAAGTAATGATTTTGTTTTTTTGTTTTTTGTTGATATATTAATAATATGTAATAATATTACGCTTTATTTACAGTGGTCTGAATTCCAACTGATTAGGCAGGAATACATTAATTGATGACAATTTTGTGTGCTAATTATCTAAGAGTCATATTGCATATTAAATAGCTATATGTTTTATAGAACAGTGGTTTGATTATTTGTTAAAATAATATAATATAAAATAATATAATAAATAGAGAAAAAAATATAATATAGTATAACAAAATATAGTATAATATAACATAATAACATATTGTAATAAAATATCATAATGCATTTCGCTAGTTCGCGTTGAGTTGATTTTCCTGCATATTATATTATATTATATTATATTATATTATATTATATTATATTATATTATATTATATTATATTATATTATATTATATTATATTATATTATATTATATTATATTATTGGATAAAATATATTATATAATATTTTATTATACTGCATTAGATATATTGTTTTAAATCATTAACTACCCCCTGTCTACAAGAACTAGCCGACTATCGACAATTTATTTTCACTTCAAAATAATATATGTAAAGCATACGACACTTTCATTTTATTTGCTGATAAAATGTACACCCACATTTCACTTACCAGGGTTTTTGCATACTTAAAACTCTAAACAGCCAGTTGTCTTTGCCACTATCCGCTTCATGCATAATAAATATATATTACAAATACATTATCTCTCGAAAGGGTGCTCATCAAAAGCCACCAAAGTATGTCACCATAACTTCTCGTTCACGCATATTCCATTACCTTTCATGCGGGCTGTATCACACCGTAGATCTCGCACATATAAGTGACTGACCCGGCCTTGACACTATTAATCGGTTCGAGGCTTAGAAACGGTTAATTTTTCTTGTATACAAATCCGTCTCGAACAAGCCAACCATCCGTTGGCTGGCTTTCATCCCACATATTCTAGCCCCTAGGTTGGCCAGAGTGCTCGGAAGTAACAAAGCCATATCTGGAGTGGACCAGTTACATTGCATGAACACTGCCTTATTTATTGTGTCAATTCCTGCACTGAGAGCAGTAAAGTACCTTCAAGTGCTCTAACACTTGACTTTATTTTCATACATGACTATCTGGTCGATATTACCTGCAAAGAACAGTTAGTTACACTGAGTTGATTGATAAAAACTATCATAGGTATCATATATATATATATATATATATATATATATATATATATATATATATATATATATATACATACACACACATATGTATATATATATATAAATATATATATATATATATATATATATATATATATATATATATATATATATATATATGTAAGTAAAGGACCCTTTTACACGCCTTTGGGCGTATTGGACATATAGGGCATATAGGGCTGGACCTATATTTTTATAGATCAAATGGCACAATATGGGTGATGTGGTCAGCATCACGCCGGCCGCCTTTACCTTTGGGACTGCACCCGGTACCCACTCAAGGCTGGGTTGACCTGGGAGCCAAGGTCATTTTTGAAACAAGGTCGGCTCCGCTATGGAACGAACCCACGACATTCCGATCCGCGGCGAGCGTCTAGCCGCTCGGCTACGGCGACTCCCATATATATATTTTGATGAATGTTGAAAGGGGTATTTGAAATTTTCACTGTTGGTCTGCCATCCAGTTTAAGATTTTAAAACCTCAATGTGGTAAACCTTCAGGTAGTAGCTGGGAGAGGATAAATGGATTTTTCACATAACCCTCTTTACCGGAACGGGACAAAAGAGTAGTAAGTGTGGAGCTGTTTTCAACAAGTAAAGAACCTTGTTCATGCCAGTGGCGTATCTTGTATTCGATGTTTGGCTCACGTTATTGTAGAGCATCTTTACTTCCTGTGAGATTACCTGGCACCAATTTTAGGCCAATGTAGCTGTTTAAGGATGTCTGAAAGGTAGTTTATTTTCAATTCACCCCAAACAAAGGAAATCCCAGACTTTCCGCCAAAGTCCACTATTCTAAGGGTGTTATAGATTGGGGTAAGGGTTAAGGTTGGGGGTTATGGTTAGAATTAGGGTAAAGCTTAGAGTTAGTGTTAGGGTTAGTCGATGTCCCTGAGGCGGTTTCGGCTGAGAGAGTTCCTCATCCTAAACGTAACTCCTAACACCCCTAGAATATTAGACTTTCCCTGGAACTACGAGATTTACTTAGTTCGAGGTGAATTAAAAATAAAGTACCGTCATAAATATAACCTATTGGTAATGGAACGGGTTATCTGTTACTTGGTCTAAGATTAAGGATGCCGTTCTTGAAGTCAAATCGAGGATGTAATTCCTGAAATAGCAGAGCGATTAAACCTCCAGGCACCTTTCCGGAAATGGAAAAGACAGACATACCTATACCACTGTTAAAAAAACAAATTTATTTTACTGGTGTAACTGCTGCTGGCTTTACTTTAATTAGACTTGAAACAAAAGCGTACAATGGGCTGTATGTGATTTCGCCCAATGGCTATGCTAGTGGGCGGGGTAAAGAGCAGACTGACAGACTGACCTTTGCCACTCCCCTAAGCAGAGAGTTACATTGTGAAGATTAGGTTGACGTGATATAGCTCTCTGACATCTGACATATACACTGTGGTATAGCAGAGTATTCATAAAAGAGCTTTATTCCGGGGAGGGGGGGGGGGTGAACATAAGGTTCTAACTACTGAATACAAGTAGATCACGATAAATGATTGGGTAACAGTGAATGCATTTTGTCAGTTGTCGCTTTTAGGACAGGCCCAATGAGACGTTGGTGGACTTAATTGTCCAAAAGCACATGCTCAGTATAATGCGTTGTTTGTGCCAACTTTGTGCTATCAATGCTAGACATGAACAGTACCGGAAAACCATAAAAGAAAAAAAAAAACTAATGGGACAAGAGATGCATAAACAAAGCGTTGGGAAAGACAAGAAGAGAGTGAATCATCAACGCCGAACTAAGAACACAGGTAGGCACATTACAGGTAAAAAAAAACCAATGAAATAAACATCAGGAATCAAGTAGGATAGTCATTTGGCCATAAGGGAACAAAATCAGCCAGCAGGTAGAGCGTACTACATGAGAGCAGTAGGTTACAAGCCAAGAGACCTAGACAAAAATGGGTGCACGGAGTAAAAGAAACACTGTAGAAACGCAATAT